AATAATAATAATAATAATAATAATAATAATAATAATAATAATAATAAATAAATAATACAAATAAAAAAATATATATATATATATATAAATAAATAAAAATAAAATAGATCAAATAAAAAATAAAATAAATAAATAAATAAAAAGATTTCTACTTTTGGTTTAAACTCTCTGGCTGTGCCTCCTCCTCCTCTCTCTGTTACAGTAGATACTCGTCTTTAAAGTCAACATCCACACTTTCTCATCACATTCCACCTAAACCTGCATGAATTAGGACCTGGCCTGTTCATGTCAGAGCTAACTGGCCAATAACACTGTGAGAACCCAGCTGATTTACTTTACTTTTAACCAATAAATGTCATATTTGTACTCTTGATTCTCAGGCTTCCAACTAAAGAACCAAAATATAACACGACTTATAAGTCAGTTTACATTGTATAGTATTGTATTGTATTGTATTGTGTTGTGTTTTGCACAGCATAGGGATGAAAACACACCGAAAAGCAACAAGAAAGCTTTCTGAATCATTCATCATGAAGTCAAACAGGAGAGAGAGAATTGCATGGTGGAATAAATCTGTGTCTAGTCATACAAAAGCCCTCTGTGGTCTGCTCTGAAATAGAAAAACAACAATATGTCATGACGCCTGTCAGTCATTACCGGATAATACGTATGTATCTACTTTCTGGGTGGTTGATTTTCAAACGCTTGTTCCAACTGGGAGGAAAAGACAGAACAATTTCAAGCTACATTTCTTGCACGCAACTTTGAAAAAAAAAGGCTGTGATGCTGTCAGGAGCGGGTGACTGAAAACAGAAAACAGAGCTTTGCTGTAAAACACCAAGAATTGTTTCACTCCTCTTTTTGAGAAATATCTCCCCGTTTGATTGAGACCTCAGATGTGAGCAGTCGACTGCAGACTAACGAACAAAATGTTTGAGGAATTTCCAGCTGAAATACAGCCGGTAGGAAATGGGAAAAGCACTTTTGGCCTTAAAGTTTTGGAATAATGTCTTTCCCTTTTCCAGAGTAAGCCGTGTGCAGCTATTGGTTTTTGTATACATTTATTCATAGGGCTCTTCACAGATGCATTGGAAATGTGAGAAAAAAAGTTTTTTTCAATTGAATTCACTTCTCATCCTAACCTTAGAACAGAATGGTAACTTTTTGATGGTTTCTCTTCCAGTTTTGATTGCTTTATGAATACACTTTATCCCAATGAGGATGATTTAAACAGTATATAGATAATTATGTGGTAGTTCACCAAAAGACACATGCACAGTAAAGAGCACCAATTAACCCTTTAAAGCCTGATCCAAGAATAAAACAAAACAGAACATTACTTTTTTTTTGTTTGAATTCCTTATTTGGCCTTTTAACAAAATATGTAAAAAGAAAAAACAGAAATACATTTTTATTATTAATTTATTATTACTATGCGATAAGTCAAGATTATATATATACATCATATATACATCATAGTATATATATATATATATTATTATTATTATTATTATTATTATTATTATTATTATTAATAATAATAATAATAATAATAATAATATTATTATTATTATTATTTATTTAGTATATATTTATTTAGTATATATTTATTTAGTATCGGGTTGAAAATTTTAGTATCGTGAAAACCCTAGGTGGAAGCACTAAAGGACGTGATTTTCCACATGTCCAAAATCATGTTCAGGGTCAGAATAAAGTGATGTGGTAATATGAGTTATGGCCAACGTGACCCCGCGGGTTCTAATTATTTCAGTCATTTCACAAGCAAAACATGAGGGAACTGAAATGTGTTAATGACTGCTTTCTCTGTCAGTTACTCATTTGCTCACAGACTTTTTAGGACATTTACGCTCCGAAAACCTGGACTGAGGTCGTTCCACCTGTGAGTTTCTCATGAAAACTGATTAGTAAAAGGTTAAAAAAAGGAAAAGGGAAAATCAATTAAAATGTTTTTCATTCATTGTCATTATAAGTTGCTTAAGGTGATTATTGTCCTTCGCTTTTACTTGGTGTTGTCTTTTTTGTTTAATGAGTTTTAAGTCTGATTGGATTTTCTTTCTCTATTTTGAGTTATATTCTCTACAGCGCTTTTACTCAGCGATGGTTGTTTTGAAAGTAATTTTTTGAATATGTTTGATTTGATCATGTATTATTTATTCCATTTCTTTAATGTAAGCTAACACAACATATGCCGCTCACCCTTTTAGGGAAGGTGTTTTTTTTCCAAGTGATAGATTTTGACCTGTGCCACTGTTCCTATATTCACAAATCCCATTTGAAAAGAACGGTGTTGACACTGTCCAAAAGATTGGATTTGAGAAACTTATCAGCTTGGTCAGAAATCTGAGTACAGCTTCAGATATAAAGCTTTGGATTCTGAGTAATTCAGCATTGGTTTCAACACCGTTCTCAAAAAATAGTTTCTATCAATTTAACCGAAAATAGTTCAATGAGAATCTGCTTTTTGAGAGTTTTTTTTTTCGCCAGCAAATATAAAATCTAAAAAAAAACAAGTCCTAGTTTCACTTCTGTCAGAATTAACCAGAAAGAAAACAACACATGCACATAAATGGGTTGTGATTGCTTTTTATTTTCAATTTAATTCTCTTCCTGTTGAACATGAGCACTTTGCATAGAAGTTTCTTTATCAACAAATTGAGACAGAGTCTAAAAAAACAACCTTCGAATAAAAAAAGTCTCATAGTTTGAACATGTTTAACAGCAAAGGAAAAACTCGAATCAAAGCTTTAGGACTCCAACATTTTTAATAAAGCCATTAAAGTTCACTTATCAGCAGCACCCTGCTGTAACCATTTGCATA